TTAACAGGACAAGCGCAAACCACTATTTGCCTGCTCAAAGGTAATTGCTCTGAACCTGGAAATAAATGTCTCACTATACAAGAAGGGTGGTAGATTCCAATTATTTCCCAGGCTTGTTTATGTAGCAACTATCTACAGTTTGATTATGTCTGAAGCAAGCCAATGAATTTCCACTCTGTGCACACGTGCCAAAATAGGCACATACCAGTTTATCATTTTACAGTGTACATGAAACTTTCAAACACGAAAGAGATATGCATGCAGAGAAGTTATTGTGTGTGATGTATGGCTATTATTTTCTGCAAAGAAAGCCTTCAGGATGTCCATCAGTTTACCATTTTACAGTGTACATGAAACTTTCAAACATGAAAGAGATATGCACGCAGAGAAGTTATTGTGTGTGATGTATGGCTATTATTTTCTGCAAAGACTGGAACAGTCTGCCTCAGGAGGTGGTGGATGCTCCTTCGCTGGACATTTTCAAGGGGAGGCTGGACGACCATCCTTCGGGTATGTTGTAGGTATGTAGGGCTGTCTTTTGGCTATGCTCCTGCAGAGTGCAGGGGGTTGGACTAGATGACCTGCAAGGTACCTTCCAACTCTAACATTCTATGAAAGAAAGCCTTCAGGATGTCCACACTAATTTTGTTAGCAAGAAGCACATTCCTCCATTACGTTGCTCTAACAACTAATAAATTTTGTGTTGTGAACAAAAAAGAAATGCTGACTAGTTCTTGAGGAATGCAGTGCTTTATTTGTCTTTCATTTCCTTTTATTTTTGTTAAGTGTGCAAACACAGAAACAGTCCAAAACAACACAGCTCTATCTCTACAAAATATCTCATGGCAATGAACCCCTGGAGATGAATGTGCTTTTTCCTATCAGGCTTTTAAATCAAGCTGATGGCAGTCACCCTAACTTGTGAGTAACAAAGGTTTTTTACTCACAGCACAGCTACCATCTACATAATGATTTCAGCTCCTGGGGGAAAAAACTCCTTTCAGTTTTCATATTGTTTTCATTCAGACTTGCTCATCCTGTTCCAGAGGGGCTGGGCTATTTAATTATACACCCCCAAAGCTTTGCATTTTCAGGAATTGTTGTTTGTGATTTTACCATGACAATTCATGCTCATGCTCAAGTAGAAAAGCCTCCTGCCAGCAAAGACTTGCAATAGGTCAGGAACAGTTGAGAAAGATTTGGGCAGACCACAGCCAAATTGCAGTATACTTAGACATAATGAAGTGTTGCCAACCGTATCTTACCCACGATAAGTAAACGGCACAACTGGAAACATTCTTTGTGTCTTGCGCGGACAGGAAATTTCATGCAGGCTAATCTTGCATTTCATAAGTTTCAATTAATTTAGTGGCAAAAATGTCAAAGTAAACATGCATGAGATCAGCTTAGGTTTGGTAGTTTGAACTGTCAGTATCCTGATGCACTGATATGAAGGGAATAACTGGTGTTACGAGGGATCATTTCCTGCAGGAGCGCACAGGAGTGGAGCTCCGGCAGTAAAGAGCCCAGGGGGCGGGCACATGCAACAAGCCCCACCCCCTGCTCCCAGCAGCCCTGTCAGAGCAAGAAGCAGCCAGATAAGTTGCAGAGCCCCCCCGCCCCCAAACAGTCCAGTGGCATCTTTAAAACCAAGTCTTATTCAGGTACAAGCTCTCCCTCCTCTGCGAGATCTGCATGTCCCCCCCCCAATAGCCAGCAATCCAAAACAGTCCAGTGGAGCCTGAGCGGTGGGTGTTGCCTTCTGACACACTTCCGGTGATGTCAGGAGGTGTGGCATATGCAAATAAGTTATGCTAATGAGCTATGCTAATGAGCTCCTGCACCTCTTTTTCTACAAAATGACCCCTGACTGTGAATATATATGGCACTGGAATCACTAATGTTCTGTGCTAGGCAACATGTTCCTACTACAAACGGTATTAACACAACGTATCGGGGGGGGGGACTGATTTCCCACCCCGTAACAAACTGTTTGAACATAACGAAGCTGAGAGGAGACCTGGAGCTATGGAGCAAGAATAGTGGAGCTTCACTTTGCGGGGGGAAACCTGCTGTCCCTTTTAAGCAAAGAGACGGAAATATTTAATTTCACAATGAAAGCGATGAAGGTGAACATATGAATACAGGAATACTAGAAGACGTTGCCTTGCTAGACCCCTACTAGTGCCTGTACTTTATGGGATCTTCTGAAAGGATGGTCCTGAAAAATGACATCTAGCTATCCAGCAATCTGTGACCAGATCAGAAAGTCTAGTGAGTGACTAATAACTGTAGGAACAAACCTGTTGGGTGACCTCATTTTAGCCTCCTCGTATCTCAGACTCCTCCTAAGACTATCATTGTCTTAGCAACAGGCAACAGGGGAAACTCTCTCTGCCATTGGGCAAGGAAACTGGGTGGCACTCCATGCTCAGTGCCTCTCCACTGGGTCCAAAGATGTAGGAGAAGCAGGGCTATTTTTGGGCAGGAACGCACAGGAACGGAGTTCCGGCTGGCTCCTGAGTTGGCCACGCCCAGTAGGAACTCATTAGCATAATAGGCCACACCCGACAGCAGAAACTCATTAGGATTGGCTACATTAGGGGTGTGTGGCCTAACATGCAAAGGAGTTCCTGCTACAAAAAAAGGCCCTGGGTTTTGACAACAAACAAGGTAAACAGAATAACAAGCAAAAGGTGGGTGTGGCTGGATAACCACACTTCTGGTAACATGGGGGTGTGGCCTAATGTGCTAATGAGCTGTGCTGTCAGGGGCGTGGCCCAATATGCTAATACGTTCCTGCTGTTGGGTGTGGCCTATTATGCTAATGAGTTCCTGCTGGGCTTTTTCTACAAAAAGAGTGTAACTACCAAAGAACATCTCAAACCCCCACATATATAATCATACCATAGCTGATACTTGTATGGATTTTAGTCTTTATTTTTCTCAAATACTGATAGAAAAATATATGTAATAATTTTTTAAACCATCCCAAGAACTCAAATATAGTAACCTGTAGAACATCTCTGCTACTAAAAACACAATTTTAAAAGGTCTTACAGAACATTTCTTACAGAACAAAAACAAAGTGGTGGAAAAGATACATTATATACACACAGAAGTGATATTTAAACAAATGGAACGAGAAAATATTCAAAACTGCAGTTCCCAGAACAGCTACTTCCAAAGCCTTTCAAGTTTATATTGGACCTGAATTCGTGCTGGAGTCAATGAGGTGTCCTTTCTTAAAGGTTTTAAAATAGAAAAAAACGGGGTTCTATTCTTGCATCAGATGCATTTTTGGACCTTTTAAAGGCAAAAACAAGACCACTACAATTTCATATTGGGATAAATGATCAAAGTTATCAAATTAACTGAAGTAACACAATAATCAACCACTCATGTACAAATGAATAATCATTCATCCAAGTCTGCAAGTATGTCACAGTATGCTCTGCTAATAATATGTGTATATTTTAAAAATATGAAAACCCTTTTATACTTCTGTGATTCTAACTTTCACGGGAAATTAGCCATATGAGAACACTGAGTTAGGGATTAAAGAATCCTAAGGGAACGACTGTAGCTGCAACCCAAGCACCCTCAGGGCACAATCCTAGCCAGGTCTTCAGAAGTAAATCCTGTTTTATTCAATCAGTCTTAATCCCATGAAAGTGTCCTTAAAATCATACCCCTACAGGCTTAGAAGTGTATGTCTGTTTTGGATTACATTGGTCCTTTCTGCGCTCTCCTTTTAATCCATGTTCAATACGGTGTCCTCCAAGCAATTCTGCACTAAAATCGAATTCAATCTTTTTTTTAATCTGAATTTCCCCCCCCCCCTTTCTATTCTGCACTAAAATTGAGTTCGACCTTTTTTTTATTCCGGGTCTCCCCCCCCCAATTTCCAAGTTGTTTAAAAACAAGGTTACCTTCTTTTAAGGTAGAAGCTAGAAAGTAGCAACGTAAATAAGTAATAAATTCATAAAATATAAAAAATGGGAGCAGAAATTAGGTGTAGAAATTATGTGAGGATATGAAGATACTAGGCGACTATTAAAAGAAAATAGGTATTGTTTAGAAAGAAAACGTTTTGAAGGGCTTGGAATTAACTTATTGGTTAAAAGTGTTTGTTAAATAGGTTCTTTTTATTATTTAGTAGGTTGAGGGAATAGAAATATTAGAATGTAATTCCAAAGTGTTTAATGAAAACGGTATAATTTGAAAAATTATTTAATGTAGATTAATTGAACGTTGTTGTTTATTTTTGGTTGGAAGTACATGATGATTTATAGTATCAAGATAAGAAAATAATTAATTTGTATTAGTTAGGTTATGTAGAAATATTCTGGTGAGGAAAAGATGACAATGTCTCTTTTTTGTTTGTCTTTTGTGTTTGAAAACCTAATAAACGTAATTTAAAAATAAAATAAAAACAAGGTTACCTTCTTTTGAATTTACCCACTGAATGTAAGTAATACATGACTTTTCCCCACAGTACTAATGGAAATCACTTTCAGTAGCCGCAAACATTTAGGTCGTGGACCTGAGTTACATTTATTCTGATTAACACTTTATGCTGCCTGGCCACTGTGTTCTTCTCAGGAAGTACACCTGTTATTTAAAGGAGACACCCACGTCTATAATAATGTGACAGGCATATGCTCGGAAGCCATGGAGTATCATGGATTCCTGCCATTTGTCCACTACATGACTCTGTACACATACAACATAAGACATGTGGAGGACATCTGATGAACAAACAGCAAAATTGTCTGCCACTGATTTGCGTACAAACACTGTGTTCTACCTATTAATTTAACAACACAATCCAATGAAAATGCAAACATATTTGACTACTGAACAGGTTACTCTAAGAGTGACACGGTAGCTCACAAAGTGTTCGTGGAACTCTGCAGTGAACTTTTACAAGTGCACAGCTTAAAGATGTACGCTGCTTCTTTCTGAAGACGATAAATGCACCACAGACGGCAGGATGCGATTTAGCGGACGAATGCTGCAATAGCGATGATCTGTAGAATTCCTTCAAGCCCGTATGTAACAAGCAGCACGGCATTAATAATGACATCTGCTCTTAGGACATAAGTCTGCCACACCAAAAAGTAGACAGACAGAATTACACTGCCAACAGATATAACAAGACTGACCCCCAGGGGAGCTTCTTCTTCCGTCAGGTTCCCTTTAGTACCTAGTTAAAGCAAAAAAAACATTACACGGGTGTCTACCTGATGATAGAAACAAATGTGATAGCCCACCAGAATACAAATCCAAAATGGAAACAGTAAATGTATGTACACAGTGGTCAAACAGTTAAATGCCAATCCAGTATTAGTGTGGAAAAAATAACATAAGCTATTTTTAACAGATACAAAATTATTTAAGGCCAGAAAGTATTACATATATGCAGGGGTCATTTCCTGCAGGAGCGGAGCTCCGGCAGTACAGAGCCCAGGGGGTGGGCACATGCAACAAGCCCCACCCCCTGCTCCCAGCAGCCCTCAGTCAGAGCAAGAAGCAGCCAGGTAAGCTGCAGAGACCCCCCGGGTCCAAAACAGTCCAGTGGCACCTTTAAGACCCAAGTTTTATTCAGGTACAAGCTCTCCCTCCTCTGCAAGGACAGATCTGCACGTTTCCCCTCCCCAATAGCTAGCCATCCAAAACAGTCCAGTGGCGCCTGAGCGGTGGGTGTTGCCTTCTGACACCCTTCTGGTGATGTCAGGGGGTGTGGCATATGCAAATGAGTTCTGCTAATGAGCTCCTGCACCTCTTTTCTACGAAATGACCCTTGCAGATATGTAGTGCAATGGACTGAATAAGGTCACTCAGACTGAAGTAATGAACTGGGAGAAATAAATGCTTGCTATGAAAACAGCAGGAAGTAATCATTCTCTATTAGGAACTATATCTGGATGGCAGCCTAGGTGTTTATCTGCATAACCATTTTTTTTTCCTCTTTACACATACTAACTTTAATTCCCTTTGCCTAATAACAAATTCACATGGAACTAACTGGGATTTCTTCACCTATTTCATCCAACCCCCCCCCCCCAAAAAAAAATCAGGCATGCCAAGCTACTACAGCATCTGGTGTGGGCAGGTAGTGCAAAGCCAGATATCTGGCTTGCTTCCGAAAGCCGTAGCTCTCAACTGGAATCAGGATGAAGCACAGGGACTACATGTCAGTCTATCATCTTGCAAGGTGAGATCTATGCATGGAGCCAGATTTAAGTGCCAGGCAGGGCTCTTTTTGTAGCAGGAACTCCTTTGCATATTAGGCCACACCCTCTAATGCAGCCAATCCTCCAAGAGCTTATTGGACTCTTTATAGCTAGCCTGGAGAACAATCTAGCCTATAGAGAGGCAGCTGACAGATTTATCTGGATTCTTCCTTTCTTTTGAAAAGAGACAAATACAGCCCATTGTGTAGAGTTCAGTCCTGTTCTTGACTCCTGCCTAATTCCCATACACTGTAATAATACAGGCTGGGTTTTATGCAGTAGCATGCAAGATCAGGTTCTGTATCTAATGCTACATCCTGTGATACCACAGATCGAATTTATATCTACAGAGGCAGCCGTACTGAGTACCAGTGTTCCCTCTAAGCTGAGTTAGTGTGAGCTAGCTCACAGTTTTTTTTAGCCTCCAACTCACACATTTGTGTCTTAGCTCAGGAAGGAGGGCTCCAGAGCAAACTAATTTATGCAGCGGCCAAATCGCTGGCTCACACAACTTTAATGCCGGCAGCTCACAAAGTGGAATTTTTGCTCACAAGACTCCACAGCTTAGAGGGATCACTGCTGAGTACCAAACATAATTTAACCATTTTTCAGCTACTCTGTTTGTGGAGAATGGAAAAAAGACAATTTATTAGGGTTGCCAAGTGGAAAAATCTTCTTCCCCAGGGGGACTTGGCAAGCCTACAATTTATGCTATGCTGCTTTAATTCATGACTAAAAAGCAGCACGTCTTTACTATGATGAAAGCATTGAACTATCCCTATTCGATTTTACATTGTTCTTATGTTGCTACAGCCATGTAAGCAGTCATCTGCCGCAGCCAAAGTGAAGAAACCATGTTTGTGTGCATCTTCCCTTTTCCTTTCCATGTACTGAATGCAGCAATATTCTACTTTTTCAGATTCCACTAGATATTACAATCTCTTTGCCAAAAGCCATGATTGATTTGCACAGTTTAGGACACATAAGTCAATCAGCCATTTTAATGTTTAACAGTTAGCATTTAAATGCCTTGTAAAATAATGTCAGCTGTCTTGAATCAGCAGATTGAACATGCACCTTTACAACGAGATTAATATTTAACAACAATCTTAATGTGCACAGTGCTTTTCGACTTACCAAGGTATAGTCGGACTGATTCTAAAATGGCCATAAGGAACAGCAATAGAAGATCAAGAGCCAAGAAATTATTTGGATAACTGAAAACTTGGCCTGTCAAAGAATAAAGCATGAATTGCAAAAAAACTCCCAAAAAACAAAGTGGAAGACCAAACTTACATTAGGTCACATACATACATACATAGACCTTTATTGGCATACCACAGGAACATAAGGAAGGCAATGGAACAAATAAATTAATAGAACGAATTAATAGATCATAACAAGTTATATCAAGTTACACCAACAGGGAATCATTTTTAAACTTCTCAAGAATAGTGAACTCAGTTAAAAAATATAACAATCCAAATGAGCACAAGAGGGATTAAGACTTATGCGCCCTTAGCTTCCAAATATAAGCTAAGAATTCAGCAACAGACAGGGTAATTGCCGAAGACTTATCAGACAATAGAATTTTAAGATCATTGTCAGTCGAATTCCTTATGGAAGGTAAGTGGGGACTGATCAAATAGCTGCGCATGGTAGAGTATTGGGGACAGCGTAGAAGGATATGAGCAACTGAATCTGGTTCACTATAGAGACAATTGCAGGTTCTATCCCTATAAGGGATACCCCTATATACATTAGGTCTACAGTATTCAGCAGAAGTATCTGGCAGTTGCGTATCTGAAATAACTTACTTTTATAAATAATCATCAATAGGGTTGCCAAGAAATAAAATATATAATACACTCCATTTAAATAGAAAAGAATCTGTAAGGAGACAGACGACAACTGGCAATTTCTGTTAAGGAAATTATTTTACAAACAGTTTGATCATGTTATAATAGTGCTGTATCTTAATATCAAAATGATATTCACTGTATCCAGTGGAAGTCACAATAGGGGACACAGTAAAAAAGTCAGGGTTATCTGAACCTGGGTCACTCATGGAGGATAGCAACAGATATTCAATTCAATTCCCTTTATTGGCATTGACATTAAAAAGAGTAATATACAAAAAAATAAGGTAAAGAACAAATACCAAAGAGGGAAAAAACGTTCTAAGATAGTCTAAAATCAATGTAAAAGTCTTTACATAAAAGACTTTTACAATGTAAAAGTCTTAATTCCATATCTCCTGAAAAACAAGTTTCATATTACAATACTGTACTGCGAAAAGAGAAAGTCTGCAAGAACTCTGCCACAGAAACGGTTATATTTTCATCATCACTGTTTAGCAAATAAAGCAATTTGTGTGAGTCAGGAAGCTCTCTGATACCACCAAGTAATGATGCTAAAATGCGGTGTCGAATATTGCCGTAGTAACGGCATCCCAATAACACGTGAGACACCGTTTCAACTGGCCCACTTGCACAGGGGCATAGTCTGTTTAAAAAAGGGATACTATTAAACCTCCCATTTGGCCACCAAATGAGGAGGGTTAGGGTTACTCCCTGGAGAAGACTCTGATGCTGGGAAAGATTGAAGGTCAAAGAAGACGGGGATGGCAAAGGATGAGATGGTTAGACAGGGTCATAGATGCAACGAACATGAAGTTGAGCAAACTTCAGAGGACATAAGAACATAAGAGACGCCAATGTTGGATCAGGCCAAAGGCCCATCTAGTCCAACACTCTGTGTCACACAGTGGCCAGAAATACCAGTGCCATCAGGAGGTCCACCAGTGGGGCCAGGACATTAGAAGCCCTCCCACTGTTGACCCCCCCCCAAGCACCGAGAAGACAGAGCATCACTTGCCCCAGAGCCCCTATCTATATCTTGTGGCCAATAGCCACCGATGGACCTCTGCTCCATATGCTTATCTAATTCCCTTTTGAAGCCATCCATGCTTGTAGCCGCCACCACTTCCTGTGGCAGTGAATTCCATGTGTTAATCACTCTTTGGGTGAAGAAGTACTTCCTTTTATCCATTCTAACCCGACCGCTCAGCAATTTCATGGAGTGCCCACGGGTTCTTGTATTGTGAGAAAGGGAGAAAAGTACCTCTTTCTCTACCTGCTCTTTCCCATGCATAATCTTATAAACCTCGATCATGTCACCCCTCAGTCGTCTTTTCTCCAAGCTAAAGAGCCCTAAGCGCCTTAACCTTTCCTCTTAGGGAAAGTGTTCCAACCCTTTTATCATTCGAAGTTGCCCTTTTCTGCACTTTTTCCAAAGCTATAATATCCTTTTTAAGGTGTGGTGACCAGAACTGCACACAGTATTCCAAATGAGGGTTGCACCATTGATTTATATAGGGGCATTATGATATTGGCTGATCTGTTTTCCCACAGGACGGCGGAAGACCGGAAGGCCTGGCGTGATCTGGTCCATGGGGTCGCGAAGAGTCGGACTCGACTGTGCGACTGAACAACAACAACAACATTAAACCTCCCAGTTAAGATCGCTGAAGGGAGAGCATTGAACCTGGCAAGTGAAAAGGTTCTACGTAGCGCTGGAGTCTGAAGTCGGTGAAAACAGCTAGGAGGATGACCCACAGTGGGCAACATCCCAGGACTTAGAGGGGAGCGTGTCTTATTCGCTGCGTTGTACAGTTCAAAGAGCTCTGCCTCAAATAGCCTGTCCCTTATTGTTTGCATCGACTCCAATTCAGAAAGCAAGAGTAAGGATTCGAAAGAGATCTTCAGTGTCCGACATTTATTTTCAATAATAATCAAGGGGAGTAGTTGGAGTCATTCAAAAGTTGGAAGCAGTAACTAGAGGGATCAGATCTGTGATGTAATCGAAGCCAAAATTTAATGGTCATTAACCACGCCCTTGTAGTCATAAGGTTTTGGCCACATTCTAGGCATAACGCCGCATACGGGACACAAGAAGGAATACCCAAGATTTTCCGTAGAAAACCTGAATGTACCTGCTCGACTGCCTTAGTAATTGATTCAATCCAAACAGGGGCTCCGTAGAGTAGTTGAGGGCCTATTTTCAGGTTGAAGATTGTTAGCGCAGCTGGAACGTATTGGTTCCCTCTTCCAGAAAAATAAAAATGCAGAGGTGCATTAACATTTGCTTTAGCATTATTAATTGCTACTCCACGTTGTTGGGTCCATGATGCAGTAGCTTGAAAATGCAAACCTAAGTACTTAAAAGTGTTTTACTTGTTCAAGCTCGTGATTGCTCACCTTCCAGGTTAAATTGCTTCCTAGCTTTGGAGAAGACTAGCACTTTGGGTTTTGGATGTATTGTCATTAGAACTCCAGAATGTAGAGATTGGTACTAAAAACGGGCTTGGATCGGAATGCCAAAATAAGATGAGGGCACATCAATGAACAGTGGCTACAAATGCTGCAGACACCAAAAAGTGGGCTTCATCCTAAACTTCTCTGTTCTACAAATTTACCAGCAACTGTCTTCGTATTTAATCATTTGGTTCACAAGAGATGCTTCCAGTGTTAGGTTAGTGGCCCACTTGATGTCAGGACACAGCTGTTTCAAAATACTCCAAAGCCAATTTAACTTTCAAAGTCTATTGAAGAGAAAGACCATACCGGTAGGTACCTTTATGATGTAATACAGAGCCAGTTTGGTGTAGTGGTTAAGTGCGCGGACTCTTGAGTGAGTGATTCAGCTACTGCATTAATTAGTTTGTTCTGGAGCCATCCTTCCTGAGCTAAGACAAAAATGTGTGACCCAAGGGCTAAAAAACTGTGAGCTAGCTCACACTAACTCCATTTAGGGGGAACACTGCTCACAGGGTGTCTGTTGTGGGGAGGGGAAGGGAAAGGAGTTTGTAAGCCGCTCTGAGACACCTTTGGGTAGTGAAGGGCCATGGGGTATAAATCCAATCTCTTCTTCTTCATCAGCACAAATATCTGTTGTATGGCTTGCAACCCTTGAAGTAAAGCACCCTTCTTCATACAAAATACTGGAAGTCCCAGAAATAAAAAATTAGTCGCCATAGGCTGAAGCTATATTTTAAAATGCATTTATATATTACCTTTCTGTCCAGACATTCAAATTGATTTACAATTTAAAATATGAAAAAGCTGAAGAGTGACTCGGATCCCGCAGTAAATCTTCACTGGCAAGAATGGCTCCTCACCTCCTTCCTCCCAGTGCGGCTCAGAATACACCCCTAAATGCTGCTCCTGCGGGACAGGGGACCTCCAGAACCAGCACAAATGTCTGCAAGCAGGAGGTGAGAGTAACTGAATATAACCCCTTTCAGTTGATGGAAATCGTCTGTGGGATCCAACTCAATATACAGCAGAAATTCTCTCAAGCTACATTTTGCTTTGATCAGATCTCTAGCCATGGTGTTGCTTTCTCCTTCACCTTGGGGCATACAGGTCGTTCAACACACCTTAGAAAGTAGGGAAGCCACTGTCTCGGTTGGTTTCTCTTGCGGCATCTGGTGGTTCGGGAGTTAATCGCATTCTCCTCTCTCCATCAAATTCCAACCATAATTCCACTCTGTATCTTGAATTCTCAGACTATTTGTCAGACTTAACGAAGATCTGAGTAACCGGTAGGATGACCACGACTATGAGTCCCCATGGGGGAAAAGACTGGATAAATGTTTTCTACATAAATAGAATTCACTGCATAAGACACCAAGACGTTTTTGTTTTGACCCTGTAGGCATTTGCCAACCATACTCAGAAAAATTCAGTGCCAGTGTCCATGTTAGATGGCTCATCAGAACCTTACTCAACATAGCTGAACCCCATATATGTAACTCTAAAATTCAAGGGTGTTTTGTGAAGAGTTAAAAATAGCAAGAGTCAGGGCTATTTTGGGGCAGGAACACACAGGAACGGAGTTCCGGCTGGCTCCCGAGTTGGCCACACCCAGCAGGAACTCATTAGCATAAGCCACACCCAACAGCTACATAAGGGGTGTGTGGCCTAACATGCAAAGGAGTTCCTGCTACAAAAACAGCCCTGGGTTTTGACAACAAACAAGGTCAACAGAATAAGAAGCAAAAGGTGGGTGTGGCTGGATGACCACACTTCTGGTAACATGGGGGTGTGACCTAATAGGCTAATGAGCTGTGCTGTCAGGGGTGTGGCCTAACATGCTAATACGTTTCTGCTGTTGGGTGTGGCCTGTTATGCTAATGAGTTCCTGTTGGGCTTTTTCTACCAAAAGAGCCCTGGCAAGAGTGAAGTTATAATCTGACTCATTTCTGGAAGCCATGTCTTGGTTCTAGACGGGGCAAGTGGAGGACAGTATGGCCTAGCAGATTATGTGTTTTGATGCAGAAGATTCCCCAAAGTTAAAATCTCTGCTCAACCATGAAACTTTCTGGACAGTGTTGGAAAAGTCTGTCAGTCTTGACCTGACTTGTCTCACAGCTGATATAAAGATAAATGGAGTAAGGCTTGTAAAACATTTTGTGAACTGAAATGTGATACAGAACCTAATAATAATCTTGATAAAGAAAGGTGTGTGCAAAAAATGAGAACCTAGTGCTCACATGAGTTTCTACAGCTGAGTCCGTGCAGACATACTATACCAGGCCCAGGTTAGGGGGACAGTCTACAAGCAAGGCATTAATTGGGACATTAGATATTTGCTGAATGAATCATATAGCCAAATCTTTTCTTGGTAAAAACCAAGCCAAATTCAATTAAGTCAGCAGATGTTTTTGACAATATCTTTTCCCATGCAAATGCTACATTTGCTTATACGCTAACAAACAACACTTCTCCATTCGGAGAATGAAAGTCTAACCATTAGTAGGTGAATCCTAGTTTGCAGAGAGGATTTTATTGAAACAAAACTGGATATTCACAGTCTCCAGAATAAAGGAACAAGGAACAAAAATGAAGAAGGCATTGTGGTAAAAGAAATATTTGAAGAATTATGTTTTCATGCCATTAGGGAACGTCAAGTTAGATTATTCCCACCTCACGTAAATTTACATGTTTCACAAGAATCAGTTTGCTCAGCTTATTTGTTGTCCAGCACGTGGATCAATCAGAGCCAGCATACTCAGCTTCTCCATATATCCTTTAAACACAATGAACTTAGAATTTATCTGAGAAATATTATATAAAAATAGTAGTCTTCAAAAGGAATACTTTTCATATTGACTTGCCAACAGGGAACCATGGAGTATCACAAATTCTGAAGTGTGGTTTATAATGAGTGCATAGTCCATTCATACAGGGCTCATGTGAGCCCTGAGAACATTCCCAATGCTCCCTTGTCACTGCATACTGCATCATGGATCAACAGTGGTGGGAAAACAGTCTTCAGTTCATTATTATTCATCTAAGGAACTGCCTGATACAACTTTGAAGGAAAGCTTTCTGAAAACCCTGATCTAAAGAAGTAAAATGGCTTCTCAGTGCAAAAGAAAGGATACAACAACCGACGTCCTTCCTGTCCACAAAAAACAAACAAACAGTTAGCTAACACCTTAATTTTGGAGAACAAGGATTTAAAAGTTATCAATGGCAGACTGTATCTTAAAGGTAAAGGTTCCCTTGCTCGAAAGCCAGTCGTATCCGACTCTAGGGTTGCGGTGCTCATCTCCGTTTCAAAGCCGAAGAGCCAGCGCTGTCTGAAGACGTTTCCGTGGTCATGTGGCCGGCATGACTAAACACCAAGGCGCACGGAACGCTGTTCCCTTCCCACCGAAGTGGTACCTATTTATCTACTTGTAATTTCTTGCTTTCGAACTGCTAGGTTGGCAGGAGCTGGAACTAGAGACGGGAGCTCACTCCATCATGCGGCACACTCGGGTCTCGAACTGCTGAACTACTGACCTTCCACAGCAGTTCAGCGTCTTAACCACTTGAGCCACCGCAGCTCCTGTATCTTCCTGATACAGTATCTTACTGAGCTGAAATAATCTTCTTTTGGGGAGGTAGCACTTCCCTGAAGCAATCATTTTAGGCTATGTGTAGCTGATTTAGAGCATGCATAGCCTGCTTCAAACAAAGCTACCATGTTTCCCCGAAAATAAGACACTGTCTTATATTTATTTTTTCTCAAGAAGACACAATAGGGCTTATACCACAAATGCATAGAAATCCTGCTAGGGCTTATTTTTGGGGTAGGTCTTATTTTCGGGGAAACAGGGCATAATATGGAACATCTCACCTCCACCAAAACCAAATGGTAAAGATGTTTCTTGCCATGGTACAAAATCCTCAAATCTGCCATTTGTCCTTAAGGGAGTACATATTTGTTACACCAGACTTAGTGTAAAAAGATCTAAGATTTCACCAACGGCTGCAGTTCTTTTGGAAACATAATTTAGATCAGTTATTTAGGTCTGTCTCTAGCAATAATTGGAATAGGAGGGTTTTACCATGCCCAGCAACACTCTTTTTACCTCTTTTTTTTGTCTTTGACATTCTTTATCATGAAAGCTTTTGGTGGAACCTGCTCATTCCTTTGTGACATCTTGCAATTGTTTCCTTGGGATTTGTTCTAATAGACCTATCTGGTGATGTGTAATTTTTGAATGTATTTGTAATCTCAAATGTAATTGCTCTGTGCAATCCAGTGACAAAAAGCACTTCTCTATCGTCCCCTAGTGAATTCACTGTGCTACACTGTCCTGGTTTGCTAATTATTTCAGCAGAGTTCTGACTTGACTCTTCCGGTTAAGCTGTAACCTATGCCAAACAGGGGTCGTCTTCATAACAGCACCATTAGATCAGATCAAAGGTCCATCTAGCAGTCTTCAGTGCAGTAAATATTACCCCTGTGGAAAGGTAACGAACAGGTCTCTAATAAGCAAGTCTTAAATCTGTGCATTTTCAGCAGACTGGAGGGAGGGCGAACAAACTGAACTTTAGACAGAAGTGCTATGGATTAGGTATACAGGTGATCTAGGATAGGCATAGTTTGTTCTGGATGGGGTTGTGCTTTCCCTGAAAGAGTGGACTTGTGCTTTGGAGTCCTCTTGGCCCAGCAGGAACTCATTAGCATATTAGGCCACATCCTGACAGTGCAGCTCATTAGCATATTAGGCCACACCTCATGCCTTCCCTTGGCTTGCCCGGGTGCCCTGCGGCTGTGGGGAGCCCGGGCAAGCCAGTCCTCGAAGAGGCTGAGGAAGGCACAGGGAGGCAGTTAAATGCCTCCCCGATCCTTCCAGGGCCCCCCTGGCCTGCCTGCCTTGGAGTCGTGGGAGGAGGGATCGCTCTCCACACCTTCCCCTCTGTAGCCAAGCATGGCCAGAGGTTTTGGCTGTAGTGGGCGCGGCCAACTCCGAAGCCAGCCGGAACTCCGTTCCTGTGCGTTCCTGCCCCCCAAATAGCCCTGGCTTAGGGCGATTTGTCAGCTGTGATTGTTCTTGGAGAAGGAAGACCTGGCCCCAGTCACACATGCTTTCGTGAGTTTGAGACTGGGCTTCTGTAACATGGGGCGGCCTTTTTCAAAGATCCAGGAACAGCACGTGGGGCAGAATGTGGCAGCCACAGTGCTAACTAGCATTTGCCACATGGGTAGCTCTTACATTTTACAACACTGGTTTCCAGGTTGTTTCTGGGCCCAATCCAAAAGGCCGGCATTGCCTGTAAAGAGTTTAGGTGCAATGTGCTGCTGTATAGCAGTGTGTGTGAACAAGAACTTGGAATATGGGTGTACTGTAAGCTAAATACGAGCAGTCAGTGTGACGCAACAGCAAAAAAAAAAAGAAAAGCTAATGTGGTCTTGGGATGTATCGACAGAGGCATAACATCCAAATCGCAAGATGTTGTAGTCCCACTGTACATCGCATTGGTCAGGCTGCACCTGGAGTATTATGGGAAGTTCTGGAGACCTCACTTCAAAAAGGATGGGGACCAAATGGAGCAGGTGCAGATGAGACTGACGAAGATGATCAGGGGCCTGGAGACCAAGCCCTACGAGGAAAGGCTGAGAGACCTGGGAATGTTCAGCCTGGAGCAGAGGAGGTTGAAGGGGGACATGATTCCCCTCTTTAAGTATTTGAAAGGTTGTCACTTTGAGCTGCGGTGGCTCAAGTGGTTAAGACGCTGAACTGCAGGCTGTGGAAGGTCGGGAGTGGTGCCGCAAGACAAGGTGAGCTCCTGTCTCTAGTTCCAGCTCCTGCCAACCTAGCAGTTCGAAAGCAAGAAATTGCAAGTAGATAAATAGGTACCACTTCGGTGGGAAGGTAACAGCGTTCCGTGCGCCTTGGTGTTTAGTCATGCCGGCCACATGACCACGGAAACGTCTTCAGACAGCGCTGGCTCTTTGGCTTTGAAATGGAGATGAGCACCGCAACCCTAGAGTCGGATTCGACTGGCTTTCGAGCAAGGGAAACCTTTACCTTTACTTTTACACTTAGAGCAGGGCAGGCAGCTGATCCTGCTGGCAGCAAAAAATAGGTCTCACCATAATGAGTTTAAATTACAGGTGGAAAGGTACTGCCTGAATATTAGGGGATTTTATTTTATTTTTTACAGTAATAGTTCGGCAGTGGGACTGGCTGCCTAGGGAGGTAGTGAGTTCCCCCTAACAGTCAGTCTTCAAGCAGGAGCTGGATGAACACTGGTCAGGGATACTTCAGGGCTGATCCTGCATTGAGCAGGTAGTTAGACTAGATGGGCTCCTTCCAAATCTGATTCAATGATTCTACATTGTCTGCCTGTATCCATAAGTATATGCCCACGCTCTAAGAGTGTCTGAAGCGGCGATGCTACCTTGGAACCTATATTGTTGGAGATGTGTGTTTCAGGGATACGTGCAATGTGCTCTTCATAGTTGCCACTCCTCAACTTTGGACTTCCCCTCTTGTAAGAATTACATTTTTAATTATCTATTTGTCAAATTTATACTCCGCCCTCCCAGCCAAGTCCCTCCTTACAGTACTAAAGACTTGTTAAAAATTCTAGAAGGCTTTTAGATTGGAATTTGAATCCCTAGCTTTCGTTTGGTTTTAAAGTCTCAACGTTTTATCGTTATTATGTATGGCTTTTTAAAAATCTTGTGCACATTTTTATGGAAAGGCAAAATAGACACGTTCTAAGTAAATGCAAGTTTAGAATGTAAAATAAATATTCTTACATATTTCTTACATTTTTATCCACCTTTCCTCCACAGAGCTTAGGGGGCATGTACCCTGCCCTATTTTATCCTCACACCACCAGTGTGAGGAAGGTTAAGCTGAAAAAACAGCGATCGGCCAGAAGTCACACAGTGGATTTAATGGAAGAGTAGGAATTCGAACCCAGCTCTCCCCAGTCTAACAGTGATATCCTAGATCCAGGTTGGGTAGCCGTGTTGGTCTGAAGCTGCAGAACAGAGTCTGAGTCCAGGGGCACCTTTAAGACCAATGAAGTTTTATCCTAAGCAGAGTTACACCCTTCAAAGTCCGTTGAAGCCCATGAGCTTAGAAGGATATAATTCTTCTTAGGGTCGCACTGCAAGTCGTCTCTGACGTCATTTCTGGTTCTCTGTGTGCCCTCGAATTTCCTCGTTAAAAACCTGACCTGGATAGCCCCGGCAAGCCCAATCCCATAAGATCTCGGAAGCTAAGCAGGATCGGCCCTGGCTAATATTTGGATGGGCGACCTCCAAGGAATACCATTGGCATGACGCAAAGGCAGGCAACGGCAAACCACCTCTGAAAACTTCTCTTGCCTTAAAAAAACAAGTCTGGTAAAAAAAAAGCTAGAACTTCTGGCTGCCAGACAATCTTAGGATCTCCTGGCTACACCACACATACCGTCATACAATAATCAATTCCTCATTTTAAAAACTCGGCTCTATTAGGAGCTGCGGTGGCTCAAGTGGTTAAGACGCTGAACTGCAGGCTGTGGAAGGTCAGTAGTTCAGCAGTTCGAGACCTGGGTTGCCACATGACGGAGTGAGCTCCCGTCTCTAGTTCCAGCTCCTGCCAACCTAGCAGTTTGAAAGCAAGAAATTGCAAGTAGATAAATAGATGCTACTTCGGTGGGAAGGTCACAGCGTTCCGTGCGCCTTGGTGTTTAGTCATGCCGGCCACATGACCACGGAAACGTCTTCGGACAGCGCTGGCTCTTCGGCTTTGAAACAGAGATGAGCACCGCAACCCTAGAGTCGGACTCACCTTGCTTTTGAGCAAGGGAACCTTTACCTATAGCATTAGGTTTCCTAGAAAACACTGCTAACTCTTCAGATATATCTAAAATATCCACACATTTTCTAATAGTAAAACCTCACTGCAACCAGAGACTTTGGTCTTAACCTCAAAGAGGCGGTGAACATCTGTCTGGGCTTCCAACTTTGGATGGGGACTCACATTACCGAATGGGTCCTCCATGCGAGAAAAAACCTTGTGCATAGAAAGCGAGCATGCAGAGTCCTTCTCTCAGACATGCTAGTTTTTAATTTGAGAGACAGGTGGGTGCCTTGGAGGAGCATCAAGCCATGAGAGCCCCACTTCTCCGTGGTCATGTGGCTGGCATGACTAAATGCTAAGGTGTACAGCGGCACCTGTTTATCTACTTGCAATTTCGTGCTTTCCAACTTCTGGTCTAGCAGTTCAGCGTCTTAACCACGCCGCAGCCCCCTTTCCCCAAACACTGCTATTGCTGCGGTGGCTCAAGTGGTTAAGACGCTAAACTGCAGGCTGTGGAAGGTCAGTAGTTCAGCAGTTCGAGACCCGGGTGCCGCATGATGGAGTGAGCGCCCGTCTCTAGTTCAACCCCCGGCCAACCTAGCGGTTCGAAAGCAAGACATTGCAAGTAGATAAATAGGTACCACTTCGGTGGGAAGGTCACACCGTTCCCTGCGCCTTGGTGTTTAGCCACATGACCACGGAAACGTCTTCAGACAGTGCTGGCTCTTGGCAACCCTAGAGTCGGATTCCACTGGCTTTCGAGCAAGGGAACCTTTACTACCTTTACCTTTATTTCTTGCTTTCGAACTGCTAGGTTGGCAGGAGCTGAGCCAGCGCTGTCTGAAGACTTCTCCGTGGTCATGTGGCTGGCATGACTAAATGCTAAGGCGCATGGCGGTACCTATTTATCTACTTGCTATTGCTGCGGTGGCTCAAGTGGTTAAGACGCTGAGCTGCAGGCTGTGGAAGGTCGGTAGTTCAGCAGTTCGAGACCCGGGTGCCGCATGACGGGGTGAGCTCCCGTCTCTAGTTCCAGCTCCTGCCAACCTAGCAGTTCGAAAGCAAGACATTGCAAGTAGATAAATAGGTACCACTTCGGTGGGAAGGTCACACCGTTCCCTGCGCCTTGGTGCTTAGTCATGACCAGCCACATGACCACGGAAACATCTTCGGACAGCGCTGGCTCTTCGGCTTGGAAACGGAGATGAGCACCACTTTCGAGCAAGGGAACCTTTACCTTTATTCTTGCTTTCGAACTGCTAGGTTGGCAGGAGCTGGGCCAGCGACAGGCGCTCACTCCACCCTGCGGGTCTCGAACTGCAGACCTACCTCCTGGTCTAGCAGTTCAGCGTCTTAACCCCTTGAGCCACCGCAGCCCCCTCTCCCCAAGCCTGCCTCCTTGCCATCCTTATTTGGGAGTCAGCCTCCGTGAACCGGCACTTGTTTCCGAGTAAACGAGCCCAGAGAGCGGGCTTGCTCCGCGCGCGCCGACCGGGTTTCCCTGTTGCCATGGTAACCTATTTATATATCTCCCCAAAGCCAACGGGCGTCTCCGGGCCCAGGTTTCTCCTCGTGCGCGGAGAGATCAAGGCAGGCCCTTTCCCTCTGATCTCCCCGTGTCAGTCACGGAAACCTCGGCGCCTGCAGGGACTACTTCTCACCTCGCCTCACCGCCGCCATCCTCTCTCCTCTCACCCCCCCTCACCTCCTCTCCTCCCCCCCCATCCCGACAGCCCTTGCGCGGGCGCCGCCAGGCTTCCGCGTCGCCGCTCGTTGCTTTCCGTCCGCGCGCCCG